TCATGGTGGAGGACATTTGTCAACTCTAGCAGAAGATTAACCCGTTCTGAGCGTTGAAGCCTGACGCGGTTCATCCAAGGATCCTGAAGGAAACGTGGTTCACACTGGTAAAACATTTTTGCCTGGTGTTTCGTGAGTCGCTTAACGGAGGCCAGCTTTCCTTTGCTTGGATGGAAACGATTCTCATGCAGATCTACAAAGCTGGTGACCGTCTATCGCACAGGACCAGTGTGCCGTGAAAGGTGATGGAACGCATTCTGAAGGAGGCTATTATAGATAACATTCTAGCAACAACTTGATGTCTCCAGTTGAACATGGGTTCTTCACGAATCGCTCTTGCGTGACGCATCTGCTTGTATTTACGGACAGCCGAACCCAGGCCAAAAACGAAAGACTCTTATCAGATGCCATATTTTTCGACTCCTCATAGGTTAAATCCTTCATGTGTCCTAAGTAGACAACATGGTTGGCATACCCAACATGCGGTCTCATATAGGCCCCATAAAGTATTCGGAAGCCCATGCGGGTAATACCGGAAGAGGGGTGCCAAACCATCTGTAGAACGGTGGAAGCCTTTTGGGCTGATTTTTCATGGTGCAGTGAGAAGAACATGTTTGAACAGAGCCAGGTATCGAAATGCTTATTAGAATCTATGTTCGTGCTGTTTTCGGGGCCATTCTCACCATGCACGAATTAAGTGTTCACCGAGCCTCTGCCGAACGGCATATGGGCGCACTTTTCGTCAGTCTCACCGATATGGGAACTCAAGGATTTCATGTATCCGCAAAAAGTAGGTATGGACTTGAAGGATCGACTAAAAGTTTTTTGACGTGAATCAGAATTAGCAGTGGTTCTAAAGCAGAGCCCTGAGGAACTCCATTGGAAACCGACGCCGGAGAAGAGTAGGTCAAACCGACTTTCACTGGAACTGTTCTGTCTGATAGAACCATCTCAAGCCAGCGTGGAGTTTTTCCTTAAAACCCGTAAGACCTTAATTTGTGGAGGGTCCGTATGTGTGGGACTCGATCGAAGGCTTTGGAGAAATTGCGGAATATATCATTCGATATGAGTCCCGCGTCCCCTGTTCGTCTGCATGGAGAATGGTTCTCCATTGAAGAGTACCGCTTCGTCTTTTCGAATTTCGCAGGGCAGGCGAGAAAGTTCGCCTCATTAATGGTGGGTTGCGCATAACTCAAGACTTCAGATCCTGTTCTCTGATAGCCAAAAAAACGGTTGACCAGCGTACTTGAGCTGTGACCGGAGAACATCTTCGGCTTTCGTTTATGGGTACCAGGAAGCAAATTTAAGGTTAGTGTACGTCAGGATCCCCGTGTGTGATTCAAGCCATGTGTAGCGTCGGGTATCCGGAGGACAGCGCGGGAAAAGCAGCTGCGGGAAATGTAGAAGACAGCTTGCCAACAGTGTACTCACGTTTCCAACCCCAAGTGACGGCCAATC